CCCTGCCTGTCGTCCCGTCTATTAGCCCAATCAAAATTTTGACAAAACGCCGTGCGGTTACGTCATTATGACGCGTTCGCGTTTTACACACATTTTTAAAGCTTAAACAGAATAAAAGAGGGATTAACGACACTTTCTAACGCATAATGAAGATAATCTCTCTTCCTGTTGTGACAAATTGACAGTTGCCGCGGTGCCACCCTGTATTAATTATTATTTATTAGGGTCGAGTTACTGTTGACTTTTATTATTATTTTAGCCGCCATTTTAAGTGTTGCTGTGAAAATTTGCGTCTTGAATTTGGTTTTCTATTATCAATATTAACTTTAATTCGGTTAATGTTATGTTTGCTTATAAGCATCCATTTATTGTTGTGGCAAAATATTAGAAAAGGTAGGTACCTACTCAAGTAATTATTATGTCATTTAAAAAGTATATTTAAGTGGTACCTGCTTATAAATTTTAGTGATAAGACAATTCATAAGTACAATTTTATTAAAAAAAATAAAACCGACTCCAAAAAACCTACACTAAAACGTAGAAAAATAATTACTAATTACCTACTTATTTATTAGGACGAATTATTAATATTTATGTAGTTATACCATGATTGATACTTCTGGAGTCGGTGCCAAGATTATGAAACATGTAAAGTTTGCCTGCACCGACTCCAAAAGTATCAATCATGGTATACCTACATAAATATTAATAATTCGTCCTAATAAATAAGTAGGTAATTAGTAATTATTTTTCTACGTTTTAGTGTAGGTTTTTGGAGTCGGTTTTATTTTTTTTAATAAAATTGTACTTATTTCTTGCTTGTTAGTTAACTAATTATTACCTTGATGTTACCACTGAAGGTAGGCAGTACACTGAGACCAAAAAAAAATTGGTTCATAATCGGCGGAGATATTGCGTATAAAAAAGTTCATCCCCAATTTTCCACCCTTGGGGGTGAAATATTTTCTTCAAATTCGCATGAAACCACCCTTTTGATAATACCTATTCAACAAAAAAATAATCGTTCAAATTGGTTTATAATCGGCGGAGATATTGTGTATAAAAAAGTTCATCCCCAATTTTCCACCCTTGGGGGTTGTTTTTTTTATTATTGAATTTAAATGGGACCACCCTTGAGGTATTACCTATACGCCGAAAAAAGATTTGTTCAAATCGGTTCATAATTGGCGGAGTTATCGCGTAACAAACATAGAAAAAAAAAAACATACGGGTCGAATTGAGAACCTCCTCCTTTTTTGAAGTCGGTTGAAAATATGCGAATTCCTATTCCGTGGCGATTATCGCGATGACCGCAAATGCTCGAAAATAAATGACTTAATAAATTATCAAGCGTTGCATCATTGATGTACTTATAAAGTCATCATTCACGGAAGTGATTACTACTACATTCAAATGATTATAATATCGCCTATAAAAATATCAAGACATGTGCGCTATTGTGTGCATAATTTACGACCGCGATAATATCTGTCAAACTTAATGGCGATGCAACTTGTCCGTCGCGATCGTCAAGCGTCTCACTTGTCAAAATAATAAGTGACATGTCGTAAAAAAGTGACGGCCGCCGGCCCTAGACAAATATGCCGGGATTGGATTATAAATAGGTAGTGTGTGTGTAGTTACCCGATTTTAATTGTTCCCTATGCAAGCGGAATACAGGGTGTCATGGTGAAAGATTGCAATTTATTAAAATAGGAATAGCTTTATTAACATTCATGGTTCAATTTTTGTTACGTGGTTTGACAATTAATGAGTGTGTTATGCGAGGAGGTTAATGAAATTGTGTTTTCTATCATTTCACAGCAAGGATTACTACAGAGTTTCAAGTAAGTAGGTATCCATATTTTTTGTACAAAAAAAGTTATTTAACTAACACTTAAATGACACGAGAAGCTCATTTTTATTTATAACCTACATTTCACTTAGACACAAAGATTTATTAGCGTCAAAAAAATTAAATGTTTTCAACTTTTTCAAACAGCTTTCTAAGTCACCCTATATTATGAATAGTTGAGATTACACATCGCAGTTGGGTTAACAACGAAATTGTAGGTTTCGCATGCATTGTCCCGGAGCTAGTCGCTTCTACTTCCTGCTATCATTGGAAGGGTTGGATGAATGTGAAATTAATTGAAGGGTTAGACGTAAGGGTAGTTACGTTGTTAGGGCGCGTGTGATCTAATTTTTTCACGGTTTTCATAACAATGCAAGAGGGTGCAGGAAGCGGAGTCTTACCGTTACAATAAATGTAACTGATTAAAATTAAATAAATAGAAAAATGAATGAGGGATTTGTCAGTTTGAATAACTTTCTTGTGCGTTATTCAGGGTTACTTTATGTGAAAGTGTCTCAGCTTGTCTGCTGAGTTTTTTTAAGTTAGGGCCAGTTTATTGCGATTTGTTTTGACTTGACTTATAAATATCTAGTTCCTAGTGGCTTATAGGTAAGTACATGTCTTAGTGGTTGCCAAAAATTTAAAGCTACTGATTTTCAGTGAATAGCAATAGATCAAGGATTTTTTTCTCCTTCTGAACCTTCGTTCTTGGTGGACCTAGCTACAAATGAAGAGTATGCTTTTTTTTACTATTCCGCGGATTCAATGTCAAGTGTTCAAGGAGAGTATGCTTTGTTGAAGGACTTATTACATTAGTGTAAGTCGGACAGTATTATAGTAACAGCCTACCTACGCGCTCGAAAAGTAGGTAATTTTAGTAAAAATAATTTACAAGAAAATTTACAAAAGTAGGTACCTATCATTGTTGACATTGGATCTTGAAAGTATTTTTGGGAACAGACAACAAAAATACTAGGCTTAGTGGTGGTAGGTGTTAGACTTACTGAGGTAGGTCAGTTTTTGTGAGGCAAGCCTGTATTGTATTGACGTCAAGTAATAAAAAAAACTAGGCAATTTCAAAGTTTCAAAGTTAGTTAGGTGACATCTGGCTGCGATATTTTTGGAGAAAATACTTATTATTTTCTGAAAATTGTCATTGTCAGACGTTACGCGATTCAAGGGGATAAATAATTTTGCAATGATATGATTTAAAAGCCTCTTTTAGTCCTGAAAAAGTATTCGGTAGGACTCTCAAGAAGCACGCAATGACGCAAATGATTTGGCATTTGCAAAAAAAAACCTAAGCACTGCCGACAGTGTCTATCTATTAGTATCTATCTATTTATATCTTTTTCAGCCTTTGGGGTTCGTCTTCGAACATAGGCCTCCTTCAACCTTCCACTGACTTCGGTCCCTGGCCACTTGCATCCAGTGTGTCAACTTGTTCGCGTGGATTGTCATGGCATGGGTCGCGCGACCTGTCATTGGGCTATGGTCGCGCTGCGATGGCGATCTGCACGCTTTGGTGGTTGAAGCATTAGCACAGAATAAGTAATAGTACAGGTACAGAATAGGGTTTCTGATTTCTCNAATTTAGTCTAATTATTTTACAAATAGCTTTTGCCCGCGACTTCGTCCGTGGAGAAGTCGAAAACGTTCTCATACGATTATTTTTAAATGTTTGAACGTTATTATCTAAATGTTAAGAATACTTTTAAAATATAAAAATCAGGTTAAATAAACATGAAAATATTTTTTTCTTATATTTTATGAATATGCAGCTCGGCCTTTGATCCGGTGAAAGTTACTCGGTGGTATTATTTCTTTACAACGAAATCGAAAACTACACCTACCGCAGTATTATTGGTAAACTTTTTTTTATATTTTCCTACGGGTGCTACAATCACCAAGCTTCCAGCATGCCACTGGCCGTGGGAGAAGGAGCTTTTCCTCAAGACTACTCCCACTACCTCAAGGGCCTCCGCCAAAACTCAAAACTGCGATATCTCCTAAGATATTTATTGAAATCGAATGGTGTAAAGGGCAAGAATGTTTAAAATTAAATACATGTGGTGAATAATTTATTTATTTGGACAAGGATTAATATCATGTTTATAAAAACACCTTCGCAAATAATGCATTATTTTAAAACAGATTTTTTTTGCATAAAAATGGTTACTATGAGCCAACCTTAAAAGATAGACATATGCTACCGCGGACTTTTTTAAAGAACTTTTAAAGGGGAACNGTCTTTGTGGAAATTCTTAGGGGAGACCTTTGTCCAGCAGTGGACGTTTTTCGGTTGAAATTATTTTTTTCGAACGAACGATACCGAGTGTATACCTTGATTTTTTAGAATCCAGCAGAGATGTAAACAAACACTTTCATACACAATTACACCATAATCACTTACGTGTTCATAATATCATACACATTATTTAACAAGCCCATGAAACCAACTTTATTCTCACAATTATACAAGTTTGAAATTAATCTTTGAAACAAATTATTTTAGCAAAATACGTGGACGATGAAAAGTGAGACTTGTCAAATTGACTTGACGTTTAAAATTATGTGATATCTCCATGTTGTCTCTGACACATCAGTGTTGTAACCTGTAAGTCATAGACAATAATCGGTAAATTTAATCGATTTTATTTCAATTATTCAATCATTTTTATTCCTGACTAGCTTTCCGCCCGCGGCTTCGCCCGCGTGGAATTTTGTCTCTCACAGAAAAACAATATTGCGCGCGTATTTGCTCACCTTTTAGACCTACCCTGGACTACGACAAACATTTTAAAACCAAATTAGCTCAATCGGCCCAGCCGTTCTCGAGTTTTAATCAGACTAACGAACATCAATTCATTTTTATTTATACAGATTGCATTTAAATAGATTTAAATAGGGTCTTAATCGACAATGTATTTTTTATTCATTGAATGTACTACTATACTAAATATTTAATGCACTGCTTTTTAAAGCATTATAAATTCTTTCTATAGGTACGTAAGTACTACAATAATTTCAATTCGCAATTAACTAGAGGTTTTGTCGTCTCACTAGAGCACAGATTAATTTTTTTTAATGTCAGTTTTCTATATTTGTTTAAGTTTCTGCTGAATTCTAAAAAAATCAACTGTAGATGTCGTGCCGCTGTAGCGCTGACAAGTCAGTAAACGGCCTAATCCGTTAGTGGCGTGACGTCACACGCCGAGGCTTTCGCATGGCGCGGATTTATTTTGCAAGCGCAACTTTACGGCCCTATAACTTCTCTGTTTGAAGATATATTTTCATGATTCTTTCGCATTTATGTTTTATTTTACTTATACATTATTTTGAAATATTAATAGAAAAAAGTTGGAAACTTCTTCGTTGTATGAATGTGTCTGTGGTGTGTAACTGATATTGACTAGACTTATTTTACTTAAAAACTTATTTTAACCGTAACTATGACAATGACCGGGGTTTTTTTATGGAGTTTGACAGATTTTTGACGTTAAATAAGATGGTGCAACTGGACCTTAATGTTTCGTCTTCACAGGGGCGGCGAATGCTCGCTCCGCGCGTTCATCACGGACTACGTGCGCGCGGGCGAGAGCGAGCGTTTAGCGGCGAATGCTCGCGCGGCCATCGACGCCGCCATGAAGGCGCCGTCCGCCTGGCGCCAGTCCGTGCGCGCGCCGCCTACAACGAGCGGGCAAGTTTGTCTTTTTTTATTATCCGACTGCGTCAGAAGAAGGGTTATGTTTTTCGAGTGTGTGTGTATGTATGTTTGTATGTAAAATAAACATATTTTTGTACAGCCCGACCAGGAACATAAAAAACCCTCGCCATGTTGCGGAAAACTAATGGTACTAATTTCTATTAATGGCAACATTAACTGAAAACTTCATTGACATGTCACCTTGCATGTCAGTCATTATCGAAGAGAAATACTAAGGGTTCGGACAATATTTTCATTGAATAATGTTTCCGACAAAGGTTGACAAATTGACTGACATGTTTATCGTACAGTACAGTCCACTATGAAAATTAGCTGTGGTTTGTTTCAAGTACCGAGTTTGAAGCGTTCATGAGCAGACATTGCAGTTGAATATTCAAGTTTGGAATTTGATTATTGATGAATAATAAAATAAATCCTACTAGCTCGATTGATGGTTTCATTTAATTTATTTAAACTAGGTTACCTATAATAATATTTTTTCGTTAATTTATGAAAATATCAAATTAGCCCGTAATCCTGAATCCTGATACATAAAGTTAGCCTATTAATTTAACACAGGTACGACTGTACTCAGTGTTGCACTATCAAATGCAATTGACGCGCCTCTATGCCAGGGTTTTTATGTTCCTGGTCAGGCTATAATGTGGGGACTGGGAGTTGTCAATTAAAGTAGTTTATACTGTGCGATGCGAGTATATTGTGTGTGTCAGTTTACGCAGCAACGTCTAATATACATTTTTATTCCCATAGTAAGGCTAAGAACTCATGGCGCGATTTTCACCCGCACGCGGCGGTTGCGGGCCCGCAGCTTCTGTAGAATGCAGATACTTATGTAAAAACTAATGCACAACTCACGACGCGGTTTTCATCCGCAGCGGTCGCGGTTGTAATCGGGTCCCGCGACACCGGCGGGCGATTAGTAGAATTGCGCGGGCCGCGGTAACCGCAGCCTCGGCGACCATTTTGTACCAGTGACTTAGCGCGCGGCGCGATTTTTTTAGAATAACCGCCCAAATAACCGTTCCCATGAGTTTTGAAATAAAACCGCAATGAGGGCTATCGTTTTAGCGCTCACCAGTTAGCGCCACTGTTGAGTAAGGTCCTGTCACTTGCTAGTAGCGAAGACAGTGACACCAACTAATTTTATTTTACACTTTTTAGTTGTATCTCAATCTCAGAGCCCTGGTCATCGTTTAGCACCAAAGTGCTCGGGAAGACGAATTCAACGAACACAAACTCGATACGTTTCCGCCGTTTCATTTACGAGTTCCTATGGCTACCTCCTGACTCCATCATCAAACCAGCTCAATGGTACCATAACATTGCATTGTCATCTCAATCGGTTGAGGAGAACTGGTCTTAAATTCAGTTGCAAGATTTGTCCCACACATACCTACAAGTGAAGTCAATATAAAGCTTGTAATAATAATAATAAAAACGATAGCCCTCATTCCACAACCGCCGCGGGTGCGGGTAAAAATCGCGTCGTAAGTTCTTCGCATAATAGTGCATGTTTTCGCAGGCAAAGCCACCGCGTGATATTCTCGTGCTGCGGCGCGGGCTGGCAGGCGGTGCGGGACGCAGCCTTGGCCGCCAAGCGCTGCGGCGCGTGCGGCGGGCCCGACGCCTTGAGAGCTACTACAGGTAAAGCCTGGTCCGTGAGCACGCAGAATTTTGTCCAATGACCCCAAGCTACCCATCCTTATCGCTCGCGGGTAATTATATTGCTGTCGCGCTCGCACACTCATGCGGCCGCCCGTCGCGCAGTCGCGACAGCAATATAATTACCCGCGAGCGATAAGGATGTTTGACCAAATTCTACGTGGTCGGCGATCGGACTTTAGTCACAGTACTTATTGCTACAGCGATAGTGACTAATGTCGCGTGCGGAAGCTCTGACGCCTTTAGGGCTACTACAGGTTCGTTTAAGGACTAAGCCGGAATTCGCGCGGGCGCCTGCACACGTGTCTTTATCGAAAAATAGTTTAAGTAGCGAAGCGTGGCCTGGACGCGTGTGACGGGTTTCCACGTGCGCGGCGGTGGGTCAATGTACGTCATGGGCGTGCAATAAAGCCTTATATCCACTTGAGTACGCTCAGGCGAATGAGCGGCTTGGCTAAATGAGCCTCTCGTTAATAGACGGATACCTGCGCAAGTTTTAGTGTGTGTAGACTATAATCCTAGAACTCATATTAAAGAGAGTCGCACACCGTTGATTTTTCGTCCGTCGATAGTTTAGTCGGGCAGTTGATCAACCCACCACCACCCATGGCCATGCCAACCTTGCGGTTATAACTGGCCGAATCGCGGGAGTTGCGCGCGGCAGAGTGCAACCTGCTACGGCAGACGCAGTTCGGGCAATTGATCAGTATGGGCATGTATGGGAGTGCGCACACTACGCCGATTCGATTTGGCCGATTCTTCATACAAATTAAAATCGGGCACAACTATCGGCCAACTAAAAATCAACGGTGTGCGCCTACTCTAATCATATTAAAATAAGAAGTATTTATTTTTCCTAATGCATTGGTTTACCCACAGCGGCGTTAGGCGCGCTAGCAGCGGCGTGTCGCGCGGCGCACGCGCGCGTAGTACCGGCGCAGGCGTCGCGCGCGGCGCGCTGGCTGGCCGACGACGATATAGTACGCTTCCTGCAGTCGCTGCCCAACTGGCGCGCTGCTATACAACCTACGCCTGCCTCGGCTGCTAGTGCGCAGGTACACAGCTCCTTCGATCGGGCCCACTAGAGTGAGCCCACCGTAGGCTGAACTTTGGTCCAACACCGCGGTGGACAACCCTCTAGTTGGGTTCGCCACTGATCGGACGCCTTATGCGCTCGATACGGCCCGATCGCGAACGTCGGTCTGCGACCGACGCGGTGACCCCAGTGTATCTGAAGAAGGAATATTCCGTCACGCTCCAAGTCGCGTTCACCGCCAGCGCGCAGGTCAATAACCGCTCTCCCCAACCTCGCACAGTTAGGGCACTCAGATAGCTATGATGCCTGTGTGTGTAACTGACATGCCGCGCTCTCGACTGGGCCCGCCTCCGCTGCTATATTGCGCAGGTCAGTGACCCTAGTTAGCCGTGTTGTACCGGCGCAGGCGTCGCGCGCGGCGCGTTGGCTGGCCGACGACGATATAGTACGCTTCCCAGTCGCTGCCCAACTGGCGCGCTGCTATACAACCTACGCCTGCCTCCGCTGCCAGCGCGCAGGTCAGTGACCCATACTATACACCTGTCTCTAACCCCGAGAGATCCAACTTGATACAACAGAAAACAGCAAGCCTAATCGCAATGCATCTGAAGAAGGAACATTCCGTCACGCTCCACGCCGCGTTCACTGCCAGAGCGCGGGTCAATAACCCTCTCCACCGCTCACCCCAACCTCGCACAGTTAGGGCACCCAGATAGCTCCAACACGATCTCTGTGTGTGTGCGCCCGCCTCCGCTGCTATATTGCGCAGGTCAGTGACCCTAGATAGCCGTGTTGTACCGGCGCAGGCGTCGCGCGCGGCGCGCTGGCTGGCCGACGACGATATAGTGCGCTTCCTGCAGTCGCTGCCCAACTGGCGCGCCGCTATACAACCCACGCCTGCCTCCGCTGCCAGTGCGCAGGTCAGTGACCCATACTTATTCACACAGCTGATAGACCGCCCCGACCCCGAAAGATCCAGCATAGAACCACAGAAAAGTTTGAAGCCTAATCCCTTTGCAACTTAAAAAGGAATATTCCGCCACGCTCCAAGTCGCATTCACCGCCAGCGCGGAGGTCAATAACCCTCTCCACCGCTCTCCGCAACCTCCCACAGTTTAGTTCGTTTCAGCTGAAAGACGTCCACTGCTAGACAAAGGCCTCCCCCAAGGATTTCCACAAAATTAGGGCACTCAGATAGCTACGATGCCTGTATGTGTAACAGGCGCGCCGCGCTCGCGACTGCGCCCGCCTCGCTGCTATATTGCGCAGGTCAGTGACCCTCGGTAGCCGCGTGGTCCGGCGCAAGCGTCGCGCGCGGCCTGTGACGTCACCAGCCTCCCTCGATCCTGGGTCCGGTTTTATTTCATCGTGAATCTCGTTGAATTTGTTGCTATTTTACTAGAAAATAAATAGCCTAGCTTAATCTTTATTTTGATTCACAGGAGCTCAACCAAGCGTACGAGCGCGAAGCCGAGATCTTAGGCTCCAGCCTGGGCGACGGCGCCGTGACGCGGCGCGAGCTGCTGTCTGACGTCACCGCGCTGGCTGATCTGGCGCTGATGTGCGAATCTATGGTGAGTCCCATATTTTTTATCACCCAATGACTTTAGTTTTAGATTTTATGAACTAAATAATAGCGTCGATACGATGCTGCGACTGGTTAACGTGACGTCAGTGGCTTACATAGCTGTTTACAACTCAAGCTCCGATTGTGAGTTGAAATCTTAAATGTAAATTGCTGTTATGTCCTCGCTGTTAAGTGCTTGAATTTGGTTACTCTTACCGTTAGATAATTCCTGGCAATTAGTGGTGACTAAGTTTGTTCCGGCGTTTCTTCTTAGCACTTGCCATATTATGTTTGTCTCGAAGCGCTGGTAGGGCCCAAAAGATAAGGAGACATGTAAAGTGCCCCATAACGGCTACCTTTTTTTATTTTTACTATATTTTGACGTTCTAATTTGAATAAAATATTTTTGATTTGATTTGAATAATACTTTTTTTTGACTTGGTGGATTACTTTAGTTTTAGAATCATGTAGCATTGTGTAGAACCTCCACGATGCTGCGACTGGTTAACGTGACGGTTCTCATATACTGAGGTTTGCATATCTGTCTACAACGAGATTATGCGAGTGTCAACTCACTTGTTATGATGTTTTTATACCATAATCATGGATGTTTATTATGCATACGCATCCGTTATATCTAGTCACCATAGAATGAGCTTAGCAAGACCATCTAATATTCTGAGTATCTAACCTGATTGAGCTAACTTCTCACCTCGCTGAAATACGAATCTCTCTCCCACCTGCACCTCGTCGCTTTCACCTCGTCCGTACCAGAGCATCGTTGTGACGTCACGGTCGCCAGTTACTTACGCAGCTAACTCGTTCGGGTTCACTTCACTCTACAGGGTGTTAGGTAAATGGGTATATGAGCCGACACTAGCCCATGTTAACATTATTTTTTTTAATTTTCATACAAAATAAAATTTATAAAATCCGATTTGTATGAAACTTAAAATAATTAAAATGAAGATATTAATTTTCTGACTTCACCCTACCATTTATATGACCACTAGCGGCCGCCCGCGACTTCGTACGCGTGAATCCCGTTTTTCCCGCTAATTCCCATTCCCGTGGGAATTTCGGGAATTCCTTTCTTAGTGCACCTCTACGGTACCTAAGCTACGTCCCTTCCAAATTTCAAGTGCCTACGTTTAGCCGTTTAGGCTGTGCGTTGATCTGTCAGTCAGTCAGTCAGTTTCTCCTTTTATATATTTAGATATTAACATGGGCTAGTGTCGGCTCATATACCCATTTACCTAACACCCTGTATAGCCGTTGTCATACTTAGTGTATTTATTCAACAGGACTGGCTCGCAACGAACATCAAGACGCTGCCGACCATAATCGGCGGGTCGGGCATCAAGCTGAGCGACAAGTTCATTGGCGACATCAGCGCTGCGGCCGCCATCTTTGAGGAGATCGCTCACAAGTGTTTGCTCTTCCTTCATCTTGAGGTGGGTTATTTAACGCTTTAGTTGATGTGGTCACTTTATTATGTTTATTTTTTAAGTCAGTGGCATAGAAAAACCATTGTGCAAACTTCTTGTACTGATTTTGTGTTGAGTCGGATCTCGACTCTGTCTATAGTCTGGTCTGTGAGCACATAGAATATTGTCCAATGACCCCAAGCTACCCATCCTTATCGCTCGGGCGTAAATATATTGCTGTCGCTACTGTGCGACGGGCGCCCGCAGTGAGTGTGCGAGCGCGACATAATTACGCGCGACCGATAAGGATAGGTAGCTTGGGGTCATTGGACAAAATTCTACGTGCTCACAGACCGGGCTTTAGTTTTACTATACACGCACACTCACTGCGGGTGCCAGTCGCACAGTCGCGACAGCAATATAATTACGCGCGAGCGATAAGGATGGGTAGATAGGGGTCATTGGCCAAATTCTACGTACTCACGGACCGGGCTTTAGACACAATTTTTATTCTGAACAGTTTGTCTAAGGTCCTACGCTAAAATTCGCGCGGGTGCACACTCTTTTGTTAGTACCTAAAAGTAGTATGAGCAGCGCAGTGTGGTGCGAACGCGTACGTCGGGTTTCCACACGCGCAGTGGGAGGCAGATGGTCATACATAAATGCCCGCCTATTAATGCCCGCTGCGGAACGCAGACACGTGTCGAAATTCGAATGTCCGGAGCAGGTATCCACTCTGTGCACCCGCGCAAGTTTTAGCTTAGAATCTCATAAAGTCCGTTCGCCGAGAGTTGATAAATATTATGAAATGTCTTGCAATAGCGACGGTCGCTTAATTATCGCATTCTGTATGGCGGGCGTCGTGTGTCACAACGCACACTGAGTACCATGGTACGAGCCACGCAGCGCACCGGTCGGCGGGCCGCAATGTGTGAAATTGAATAGATTTATTTTATATAAGACCGAAATGAATGGTATGACAGTGGGTAGGGCTTTGCCCAACATTGGGATACACTATAAGCCACTTGATAATAATGAAATACTTTTTATCCAACACATGGACGCCACGTGTTTGATCCGTATCCCCTCGTATGCCCTAACCGGAATAATTCCCGTAAATTTAAAAGAGATAATAATGATAATCTACCAACTTTTTCAATAAATTAACAAAAATAATTAGCGGGCCGCAATTTATAATGAGTTTAGAACCTCTGATATTTAATTTTGTTTTATAAACTCTCGGCGAACAGACTTTAGTAAGTCCTAATAATGTGTTTGCAGCTGCGTATCGCGTGCTTTTACTACCTCGGGCAGGAAGAGACGGCGTCTAACTCGGAAGGCGAGGCGGGCGCGGGCGGAGCCGCGAGACTGGCCCACGCTCTGCTGGCTTTCCACGAGTGCGCCGCGCCGCTGTTGGCACCGCATCTGCTAGCGGTTAGTGAGCCTTATTGCCTTGGGAATACGGAGTATTATTGCAGAAGGATCACTCAGGATGAGACGGGCGCGGGCGGTGTGGTGAGACTGGCTCATGCACTTCTGACTGGCCTTCTATGAGTCCGCCGCACTTGCTAGCGTTCAGTGAGCCTTACTAGTGTAGGAATAGGGAGCATTATTGCAGGAGGTGAGCGCAGGCGGGGCGGTGAGACTCGCTCACGCGCTGCTGGCCTTCCACGAGTGCGCCGCGCCGCTGCTGGCACCGCACCTGCTAGCGGTTAGTGAGCCTTATTGCCTTGGGAATAGGGAGTATTATTGTAGTTGGCAGCGCGGCGAGACTTGCTCACTAGCTGCTGGCTTCCACGGTTGCGTCGCGCCGCTGCTGGCGGTCAGTGAATCTTATTAGTAGACATCGGATTATATGCACTATCAAAATGCCAAAATATGCATGCAAATATGCACTAAAAAGGGCGAAATATGCACAAAATATGCACAATCAAAAAAACATTATTAGAATTAACTTTATTTTCACAATACATAATTAATTAATTATATAGGTANAAGTTAGGTTTGTATTCTAATTTTCCGTATTTGTTTGTGGCAAGTCGGTCAAATGGACGAAAACAGGAGCTGGACGGAAAACCGGCGCAATTACCCTACAATTTTGAACTTTTGATTGAGATGATACCTACATAAGTAGGAAATAAATACCTACCTAATACCGTCTAATGCAGTTCCTATGTCATATATTTATCGGTATCCGTAATAGTAGTTCATTAGTTCTTTATAATTCGTTAGGTAGGTAAATAAAGCCAACAATATATTATAAGTTCCTAGAAAGATAATGAAGACGATAATAAACGACCTTATTCATTATTGTCGATGTATGTTTATTAAAGAAAGCAAACCTGTCGGTAATCTATCTAAATCCAATTACCTATGTAGAACTTTTAAAAATATTGATTTAGGAAAAGAATACATCGTAAAAACGTCTGTGTAGTAAACGCCGTTCCTACGCTGCATCGGCTAATTGTTTGCAGCGTAGACGCTCAAATAAAACGGGTAATTCATCAGAATCGCTCAGGCATTCGTGCTTCGCGCCATAAGCTGCCACCGCAGGAATGTCGACCGGCCGGCTTCGCGGCCAAGCGGCCGAGGCAGCCACCGGCCGCGCGCGAGCTCCCCGCTCAAACGCCGGCCGGCGACTGTAAAATTATAAAGCTAGCTAGCTATGCCGCGCTGCGCCTCCTCGATTTTCCTCCCACAAAACCGCGCCTTTACCCACACAGCCATCCGCACCCACACCATCGACCATCGCAAGTACTCCACGAATGCCGCTGCGCTGATTTCCTTCCATGAAACCCCGCGCCGCCCGGCGAGACGCCGAACGCTTCCCGATTTCTACACAAAATTCGAACGATACAAACTTAAACTACTGGGCTGGATGATATTCTAGCATAATATAGCTTTTCAACGCGAATTATCATTACGACATGGCGTATTTTCAGAGAAATTCGTGAATGGCATCGAACGCCGCGCGGGGCGAGGAGCGAGGGGTACGCGTGGCTACGCGCTCGCGGCTTCCGCGCGCGGCCGCGACAGTCGGCGAGTCGCTCCAGTCGTGTCCACGGCGCCACAAGAGACGCACGCGCGGCAAAACTTCGAACCGGCCGGCTCCCGAATAATGTTTCAGTGTTTGACAAACTCAATCGGAGGTCTCGGAAGAAGCGTATTTAATAATTTACACTGTATAACCGACCGCATATTCTCAGTGAGTGTTACGCAGTGTGTACGGAAAAAACTTTGTCGAAGATTCTGAAGAATCTTGTGTAAAATTGTGTAATTCGTCGGCTTCGGTCGGATTGCGTTTTGCACAAACTTTTTTTGGTGAGTGATTTGTACTTTATTGGTTGATAGGGCTTGTTGTAGGAATGCTGTTACGATTGTAAATATTTTATAGTGTGGGTATTCGAATAATTGTACTATGGTACCGGCGCGGGGCGTTGCCGGCAATACGTAGTGTAATGGAGTTTTCTTCGAATTGGCGGCGCCCAAATTCCTTTTCGTAATGTTGAAACGCCGAGAATATTAAACGCAAATCCACCTTATCACTTACAATTCGCCATAACTCCTAACATTGTTTCATTCAAATGTCACTATTTGACGTACTCATAAAATGTCGACTGACGGTGAATTGATCTTCATTTTGTTTACACTAGTGTTGTAAGGCTAACAAATTATGTATTTTGTGTATCGGTAATTTTTGAAATTTTTTTTTTATAATTTTCTGTCAAATGTTGGCTTACACAATTTTAAAATTCACTAAGGAGTAAATAATTATAATCATTTTATTAATTGCAACTTTAGTACCTATTCCACACAAAATGTATTTTCAAGTTTTATTTTAACTATCTACGTGAGGCTCATTTTGGCGCCACAGAGTTGGGACGAAAAAAGTTCTTTCGTATTTCAGTCTATCTAGCAAACTTTAAACTTTATATTATTCTATTAAAAATAATATAAAAAAGTGATATAAAATTTCCTTTGTAATTCGTACCTACTACACGAAATATCTCATACCTACCTACTAATTGCTACAAGTTTAAAAATTTAAATCTTTATTATTAATTGCAAATAAGAAGTTTTCTAAAAAATAAAATAACTAATAATACAAATTGTAATAATCGATTTGTGATTGTGACATAATTTTCGTAGTTTCTGTAAATATTGCACAATATTACAATTAATGTTACAATGCATTCTTCCTTGGTAAAAATAATTGGAAAAATTTCATGTTATTTTTAAAGATTAATAATAAAAATAAGTCCGAATTTTAATATTTTTTATTTAGTGGGTACATATTATTTCTCGCTTTTTTCATATTTCGATAAAATGCTAACTTAAATTCAACTCAAAAAATAACAATGTAGCAAAGCATAAATTTACAAAGTCCATAATAACCATTAGTCGTCTTGTATAAGTGCGAGTAACAGGAAAATTACTCGTGCCATTAGATTTATTAGTAAACACTCATTTCGCGCCATTATGTGCATGTAAACAAAACAACACTTTTTGCGGAAATCTTACCTGTCTCGCAGGCCAGGGAAATTCGCCGAACCCGGCATATGGCCCCAGCCTCCGCCGCAGGTAGAGAAATCCGAAAAAAATCGACGAGGGTTGGCGGCAGGACAATAACTAATTGTTATTAGACAAAAGTGGGATAGGACCCAAGGCCAATGTACTCTTTAAAACTGTACGTGTTCGCATCCAGACTTCAGTCTACTTTCGGGCTTCGCAGTGGGCACTTCCTCTCCAGTGCCACAGGAGTCCGCAATCTCGATTTGTTTGTAAATACAAGGGGGTCAACACCCCTTGTGTTTGAAACTTTTCAGTTTAAATTTAAAATTATTTGACAATTTTCTGTCACCGTCACTTGTGTTGTGCCGCTCAATCGGAACAGTTCATTCATTGATGGTCATCGGACTTAGTGACTTGTGATTACTTTTTAAAAATATTGTGAAGGTACAATCATTTTTAATTTCAATTATTTCAATCATCGGCATTTAAATAAAAACGTTTAATTTTTTTTTCAAATTTTAAAACTTTTCATAAAACTTTTGCGCGAGAAAATATTTTGGCTAATATTTAATTTTCTGTTGTTGCAGACGGTGTGCGTTGACACCTTCGCGCGCATCGTCCCTGTGATAAGGGGGCCTGTGATATCGACGAGTTCGTCTTAGCTTTAAAACTTAGTTAGATTAGATATAAATACAAAATGTCGCCCGAAATTGACGCTCAGATACTCAACTTCGACGTATGGGAGACCCTGGACGAGGAGTCCATGGAGTTGACGCAGACTTCAGAGTTCTGGGCCCAAGTGCAGTACGAGGCGGAGCGGTTGGACTTAGTTCCACCAGACAATTTCCAGGACTTGGTACCGGAGAATGAATCCGACTGGAGTATAATGGAGACACAAGAGGAACAGAGAGAAAACAAAGAAAACATCGTGCACCATGATTGTATGTGGGCTGGCTCCTGCGCAGATTCGGTGCACCCTGGAAATACTTTTGTGCCCACTGACTTCACACCGGCTACGCCTGGACAGAGCCTGCTCCGGCGGGACAACATGTCTCCACCCAGACCTGAGACTCCGCCATCCCTGGACGGGGACGAGCCGCCACAGTTCCGCCACACAGTGGACGTCGCTGGCACAGCTCTCCGTCTGCTCAGAGACTCAGCCGCAGTCGCTGCCGACCATTCGTACACTTTGGCCCGGCAACAGTTCGACAACCTCGGAGTGCAGACACCATCCGACTCTTGCGAATCAGGTTAGTTATCTATTTTTAATTAATCATATTATGCAACCCTATAATTTTTATTATTGTTTTTCAATAAAATTATATACGACTCGCAATTTGAAATTCAAATCGCCGCTACGAGAGATGCCAGCTTATTGAAAATCTTCAGATAGAACAAAACGACTCCGATTGCCTCAATATCGATATCGTTTATTTTTATTAAGCCGTTTGCTCGTCCTTTTATACTTTTCTTATAAATTAAACTCCATGTTATTCGATGTCATCTCATCAATAAAAATTGTAGTTATTGATTTTGAGCATAATTGACTTAATTTCGCCGTAATCGAATTTCATTGTGAAATATTTTTGATGTTCATGTAATTAACGCAATCGATTCCCGAAGTGGTTGTTAGGGGTTTCTTAAAGTAGGCGGGTAAGTTTTAACCGGGAATTCGGGAGGACGCAGGCGTCGTGCCGCGAGCGCGGGAAACTGCGCGTATCGACCGCCATCCCGCGCCCCCTCCGCGTCTAGACGCACCCGCGGCACCGCTCTTCCGGAACCTTCGCCCAATGCGACCTTGAACGCCCCAACCTTCCTTAATGTCAGATTGCGCAACCTTCTCGCCCGGTTCATCCCGCGGGACTGACGCGCTTAATTACGACCAGGATTAATCCACACTTGCATGTACTTGAGGTCCCGAGCGGGGGGCGGCTAGGACGCTCAGGTCGGCCGTGCGTCGACCGAGACGTACGTCCCGACCTTGGCGCATCCTCTTTATGAGTTAACGCTTCCCGCTGACTGCAGGGTTAATATCCTTTGCATCAACGAACCATTCAACTGCTCAATCGCGCTAATCTGGTTTTTTGTGCCGCATTGACTCGGATTTCACTTAAGATAATGTTGGATATACATTTTCGATAAGCCCCTTCGGAAATAACAATTCAGATATCATCTTACTCAAATTAAGGCAAATATTTATTTAAATGAGAATATTAACTACACGTCAATGCAGTTGTTGTTTATTATCTTAATGCGGAAACAAATGCAAACAATGTTATATTATTTGTAATCACAATTACCTACTCGTCTATTTATAGTGGAACATGTGTATTCATAAACTGTGGTAGTCTTATTTGTTTACATTCAACTACTTAGAGACTATCTATTCAAATAAACATGTCATTTCACATTAAACTAATTGATAATAATCGACAATGTAGCATCGCCGGCCAATTAAAAATAAAACAAACTTAGTTTACAGTTGCTCCGACAATCTTGGCCTGTCTTGTCCGTTATTCGTATAAGAATGCAACGGAATGAAATGGAATCTCATTGAAGTGAAGCTTGCTTGCTCGCCAGACCGGTTTAGAGCTCGGTACTCCCATGTCTAGAATCGCCGGACGACAATTTGATAGACAGCATCTCCATTAATCGTTAAGTTGTTCGGTATAAGTCGCAAGATAACTTGTACAGTTTACGGAATATTTTACTTATGGAACGCTCAAAATTAGTTAAAAATATAATATTCACTTGCATACATGATGACATTAAATTGATTATTGAATATCGAATGCGATTAAAAGATTCGCAACGCCCGCACTACAACACTAGGCAAGCGCGGCAAGAATTTACTACGCATGCGCGGACTTATCGTACGCGCCACAAATCCGCCAACCATACACGGGCAAAGCTGTCACCTTTTCGCGCCAATTTTCTTACAACTTCTACGCGACAATGACGACTATCAGCGATGAGTACGAGTTTTATTTTACAGTGTACTATTTCGTACCGCTCGCGTATGCCGCGTTCAACATAGTAAATCATGTTTATTATCATACGATGTTTTACGCGCATCGTATTCTTTCCAGACACATTTTATGTTTCTACATTAATGTAGCAGTAAAAGGTTTCGCAAACGCCCTATTTATGTTTTACAATTTACGTACGATTATACGACTAGCAGGGTATTTCAGTTTAGCTCACATGCTATCGCAATGATTAAATATTAGCTTGTAACTATGTGCCTCAAAAGTAGGGCAATGGTTTGAATTGTAAGTTCCTATAAGGGCAATTTGGGGCAGTTAGATCCGGTTTGGCCGGTCGCCCTAAACACATTGGTATCAATCAGTAAGCCAAGGCTGCGGCGTTTCTAAACCAAGTGGTCGACAGGCGAAATTTTAGTACTTGCTAAGCATAGTATTAGAGCTCTAGAATGATAATTAAGCAGTCGACATTTTCCCGGTCTATCTCGGTCAATTACACTAATTAATTTAGGGATGTCAAAACTCGATACGTGGCAATTTAATGATATCGATAATTATTTGAATTTTGCTGTAAAAACGTTATGAAATCCGAACTGCCAGATGTTATAAAAACCAGAAGTTTTAGTTAAAAATTGATTGTGTTAGGCGTTTTATCGTTTGTGCGTAATAAAGGTTGGTGTGCGTAGTTAAAGCAATTTGCTCGGTTCTCACTCGCTTGTTACCTACCAAGTTGCGACCTAAATGTTGCGGGCCCAACCTGGCCAGTCGCTAACTAACTACGCTGCCCTACTTTTGTATCTTAACAGATACTTACTGGCTTACCTTATGACTTTGTATGTTGTATGATAACATTGGGCGTGCCTAAATTTCTGCGTAAAATTTAAAAAATATTATCTTTTAATTTCAAAATAATTATGTAAAACGTGGCGCCATATGAAACGTGTCTAATTTTTTTATCACGACCACTGATAATCCTAAATGTAGACACTGGCCCATGCGTATGAAGTGAGAACGGCCTTGGTGTTATCATCGCAGAAATATGCATTTAGATATTTAAACAATCAGTACTAACTCTACTCGCGATGTGTGTGTGACTTCTTAGCCCGCGGCCTTGGCAGTTATCACGCCGATAACAATAATACAATGTGACACCGTAACATAAATTTGTTTTGTCTTATCGTTTAAAAAACCAGCTACGCGCAGTGACAGACGATAAAATGGCATCGCAACAAGATAAATTCGACATTAACTCCTTGATCTCCTAATCATATGGGTCGAATTTGCTTCTGTATAATAATTGAATGATAATTTCTAGTTATTTTCCGTTGCGTAACATAATTTTTAAAGTTCACGCGGAGACAAAACCGAAACTAGTTTTTTTATTGCGTAGTAATGAGCGTAGTATAATATGCAATCTTACAACTTGAAATCGATACAACCGATTTATTACTACGGAAATGTCAACGAAAATCGCAAAGATTTCAAGGAGATCGTCCTATTCTTTTAGTGCACAATTACTTAAAAGTCAAGGATGGGAAAATTATAAATGTAAAGTAGTTATCAATATTAATGTGCCAGTTCATGTGAAACAATCGACAATTATATTAATTATCAATTTATTGAGTTCTTTAAAGTCTCGTGCTTCTAATAACATTTGAATGGTTATCTCACATGAATTTTAACTGAACAATTATATCGCTTTGTACATAAATATCAAAATCACAAATAATACGTTGGGCCCAAGTTAAGTTGGCCGTGTAGGCATGTGACTGCTCCTTCCGCTTATTAATGGGCAATAAAAAAATGTTGCGTCACGTCTTTTCGCGTTTGCCGCGTCCGTGAACTTCCTAGCGAACCCATCCAAGGTCGCTCGATGGTGCGAACGCTCAATCGATCTATGAGACATACAAGTCGTAAATTACCAGCTTCTATTTTAACAGGCCAGCCAATCTCGAGAGCACGGCAGAGGCCAGATGACCGACTTTGCCCGGTTGCATAACGCAACTGAAATAACGCTCCCATATGGAGTGAGGTAGAAGTTTAATTAACGAATGCGAAGGCTCAGCGATTTCCGTTTAAAGTTCCGTGGGATAATGAGAAAGTTTACTATCAAAGTTATAAGCGACGAGTTAAGAACTGGCACGTTGCATCCGACTAAGTACTTAGCATCGCCCACATTCATTCGAGGCGTTCACCTATACAGGCTGATAAAAAACAATAATTATTATATTATTTAACTAGCCTATTTGTTTCATCGATACATTTTGCAATCCTTGCATCACTATTGTTTGACAGATGTCAAAAGTATCAAAATATAGGTTATCTATGTGTTTTCTAACACAGATGAAACGTAGTACTAGAATCGGTTAGATTAGATGGATTATCGTTATCAAATCGATTTATCTGATAAAGAAGTACCTACTACAGGTAGGTATTGTACGTGAGCTGTATGAAACACTAAAACCGATAACGTTATATAACCATGGTTTCCAAGAAAGTGAGGTTTTTGCCTCTCATCTGAGTTTAACGGCTCATAAAGTACGGGGAATATATTTTATTGTGGTCGTTTATTATGCCGCCATTAGAGCACACTGTAGAGGATGGCGTGCTGCGTGCTCGCGTCACGATAATTTTTAATTATCGCACTCAAATGCCAGTGAACTTGGCTCCTCTCGCAGCCAGCGGAGCGTGCTAGCCCTCGCCTTACCGGGTCACAGCGACACCGTTCTTGTACGGACGACGGCACAGCAAGCTAAACACTGGGACTTTCAGTACTTCTGAATAGGAGCGATTTTAAAGTAATCACTTTCTCTAGAAAAACACCTGTATCTTTAACACAAAAAACTAAAAATACCGATTTCTATATTCTATTAGAAAACACCCAGGTCGCAATTAAATCTAAGAAGTAAGACATAAATATAGCTGGCCGCGGCGACTGCGATTGCAACGTCTCAATAAGTTTAGCTAACGTTTATGAGTCATTGTTTGAATACGTCAGGTTTGGAGAATTAGAAGCTGCATAATACAACCTTTGCATCTGCATCGAGGATTCGATGATTGGTAAAACCCATAGCATTTCCTTATACCCAAAATTCGCAAGCTCACCGCTAGTAGCTAACTACCTAAATGTTATGTGAACAAAATAAGGAACCAGTATTTTACTATGGTTGGTTTTAAACACCAAATTCTTGGGAGGAAGATCCGCGTTATGGTACCGGCATAGGTATGCTCAGCCCGCAATAAGACGGTGAGAGCTGGCATTTTTTCATGATACCAGTCGCTTCAACAGACAATAAAAAGCGGATAATCTCTGGTATCGTTTAAAATTGGAACAGCGAGATGGCGATATAATAGATATGCACTAGACCGAACCGGCGGCGCACCGCGACAATACGGCCCGTATCGCTTACAGAGAGCTTGAAACAAATACTAGGCGAGTGTTAATCGCGTTGGCGCCAGGAGGAAATCGTCGCGTGTAAATTGACTCCAGCACACTCGCCCTGCCAGCCAGGGCTGTCACATCAACTTTCATGCTTTCTAAGGTTTCTTTTCAAAGCTACTCTCTACTCTATGCGTCCAAGAAGATCAAGCAGTAGCTAGCGACAGACAGAAGTCGATTTGGTCAGTTTAAAGTCAATGCAGAAAGCGACAACCCCGCCCATGCCTACATTTAGACTCATGAGACGCGTTTGACGACAGGCGCCGATCCTCAAATTAGATCGAGTCGAACCACGATAACCGACCGCGTAACTATGCGGAAACCGAGCAAAAAGATCGCGTTGGTGTATAAATTTATCGTTGCTAAGGTAGATAATGTGTCTGAATTCTGGTCTGTTGCGTAGTTTTTTCTCTTCGATCTGCGTAGTTGCAAAACCTATTTCCCGAGCGTCCCTGACTCGCATACCGTTTTGTATCGAACAGCTGCCCACGTAACAAGTTTCTATTTCAAGCGCGGCCCGTTGAGATGTTATAGGAAATTCTCGTCCTTGCGGGCTACGTAAATAGCGTGCATTCACTGCAGGCGAGACGGTAACCTATCACAATGAACCGCTGACATAATTATTTGTTGGTGTAACCGGATAGTGCGGTTCGAGCTGCTAATTCCGCGAAACATGCACTACGGCGTAAACACGAGCGGCCGTCCACATCCGCAGTCCGATACGTGCAATGCGATCTCCAACTCGACTCCTGCCCGCTGCCGAGTCATTCATAGAAACGACACTATCACTCCTACTGCATCGCATCATCCCATACTTACCAGAATTGCAAAATCCCCCTAATTTTGCTATCCTTAAAACAACCTGTTCATTTGGGAGCCCTACGCCCTGTGGCTTTGGTTCTAGATAAAACAGGAATATTATATCAGTGAAACGCCCGTGTTGAGGCAGTTACTCTTGACGCCATGCAACTCCGTACGTTTCTCACATTTATAAAAAAGCTTATCTCCCGAAAATATTGCAATCTGGTAGGTAGGTACTGCCCATCAATGTCATCCGTAAATGCGTGTGCATTGTACTAGTAGTAGGATTGTCCTATCGTGCAATCGTCGCGTGACAGTTAATTTCGAATCGAGCGCAGTTAAATGGCAGGAGCGAAGGCCGGAAAGCGTGTCCACCGGTTGATAATCCGAAGTCCATTGAGAGTGGACGCTGCCGCAGCGAACCGCGCACGCGCTGTCGTTTTGGCGCGAATGCCGCGCCGTGACGTCAGGCGTCTGGATCGATGACGGCAGACGCTGCGGTAGTACGATGGGGTCGACGCCCTCCCCCCTTCCGTGTTCCTCCCACCCCTTCCCGCGCACCTGACTACTGCAGTCGCATCTCGCCTCCCTGCCTAGATCTAATCCCGTAGTTGTGTATAGATGCGGCATGACAATCGACGCCCGCCTTTTATGGTGATGCGAGCGTAATGAATGAACGAACTGCGAGAAACGGAACGGTGCGGCTTTGAATCGCGAAATGCATTTTGGAGTCGGGAGCTCGAATTTTGAACGTGTTCTCGTTTGTTGCAGAGGAGGAGATCGATGTGGTGTCCGTGGGCACGTCGCAGCAGACGCTGGTCAGCCCGCACGTGCGCACCGACTCGCTGCCTCGCGCGCCGTCGGCGCAGGAGCGGCAGCACATCCAGCGCACCGTCGCCTCCGCTATGTCGCCCCGCTCGCCGCGCCCCGCGGCCAGGAAGCGCCTCATTCCTCCCACTGGTATCGCCACTTCCTCCACCACCACGCAGCGCCGCCGCACCCGCGGGCCCGGTCGTCGCGGCCGCCGCTCCAACACCGACACTGACTCCGAAGGCGAGTCCCCAGAGATTGAGCGTCGTTCGATACACAACGACATGGAGCGCCTTCGCCGTATCGGTCTCAAAAACCTCTTCGATGAGCTGAAGAAACAGATTCCGGCGACCAGAGACAAGGAGCGTGCGCCGAAAGTGGTCATATTGCGCGAGGCCGCCGCCTTGTGCCGCAAGTTGCGCGAGGAGGACTTGCAGCGAGAGATCCTCAAGAAGCAACAGAACAAGCTGATCACGAAGTTGAAAAAGCTTAGGACGACGCTTTCGGCGCGCTACCGAACATACTGAACGCCGTCTGATAAAGTGATGGTCATTATTCGTTCCAGAGTGGAACCGCTAGAGTACTCTACGTGACACTAAAGGACTGTTAATATTGATGTAAGTTGCTTCTGGACGTACTAACGGACGTTCGGTTTTCTATTGTTGATACGGTTGAAACCCCATATTGTTTTGTGCCCGGGGCCGTGTTGACGGCGAAATAGTACGTGTAGAGTGGAGTCCTATAATATTGTTGGAATTTGTTATTTCGAATGAAAAGTCAGCTTTTTACGGCTTACTCTGCTTCTGTGGGAACGTACCGTAATGTGTGCAGTTGAAAAGCAATAACTGCGGTTAGTTTTGCTCAAACGATATTTTGCAGTGCCAAAGTGAGCCATAAAGCTGTTGTTAACATAAATCCTAGGTCTTCAGTAAAATATCTCGATAGTTACAGACTGCTTCAGAAACTTAGTAGACTGGTTTTACCTCTAAAACGTTTTTTGAATTATCATAAAAGTATACATAGTTGACATAGCGCATTACAGATTTACTCCGTGTTGACTAATCAAAAAAGATATGACATTTTGTGATGAATTGTTTCATATTGAAAGATTTTTACTGGACCTCCCTAGTTAGTGATGTGTCACGTTTAGTTTCGATACGGGAGCACGTTGGCGATTTAGTCGTGCGGTTCTGCTGCCGATAAGTTGTCGATAACTGCTACGTAGAGACCGAATCAGAAGAGTTGGACCAAGCGACCAAATCGCTATAGTGTTGTGTGGGGCAGAGAGCCCGAGTCAGTCAGAGCGGGAGAAGTGTGAGAGGTCAGCGCCGGCAGAGGTGGACGCCGGCGCGCGTGGTTGGCGATGTTTGGCCACTTATATGTTTCGGCCCGATTCGTAGGATTATTTTCGACCGAGAACGAGGTTGATATTAAAATGGAAAGCTATATTTTAGGTTTAGCACGCTTACGGTTTTTTTGTAGTGTTTTGTTACTCGTACCTAGTGAATTTTAACAATTTTAATGTTTTTACATTTTAGTCACGCGATTAACTCCGAAGCGATATTTAATTAATAACAACGTTGGAATTGTTGCAATTGGACCATTTTTTGAAGCTATTAATTAATAATATACATACAATGCACCAGCTGCTTTTGATGATGAAATAATGTCTCATTTAACTTATGTGTAATTTATCTGTAAATGAGCCGTTCACACGGTGTGCGCGCGCGACTGTCGTCTGTCTATATACCTAAGTACCTACTTTATGAATTAGAAAGATTGGGCGAAAGATCTAGTATATAATAATAACATGTAATCGCGGTCGCACGCTAGATGTTTGCACTTTTATATTTGTATGGTTATGATTATTACATACGTCATAATTACGTCGCTTAGTGGTCATTCATAATTAGTTTTTTATTATTATTCGACGATTCGGTAAATGCACGCAATCATGAAAATTACCATTGACACAAAATTGTTAAATATAGTCCAGTTGACGTACATTCAGTGAAAATAAACATTAATATGTATAATCTCAGTGACAAATGCGTCTGATTAAGAATAGACTGTGTATTTTGATAACAACATCAAAATCTATAGATTCAGTTAAGAGTCCGAAAAGGATTTTAATATTAAAATATAACCAAGACATAGTTCCTCATAGTACCTACTAATAGTAAATTGTGCATTTTCTTTATGATATTTTTATTGCGGTAAGTTTAGTGATGTACTCGCGATAGTTATTGAGTATCGATAAAAATATTAAACCTGGCCAGATAGATAAAATTATCGACTTGCACTGTACAATTTTACAATGCATTTTTTTATACATGATGATACGATGACGGATTTTTTTATTTTACTGTTCAGGTTTGCAATAGAAGTTGATGTTTTATCAAGCACATGGTCAGCGATTTTGTACGTTCAAAGGCTTTAATTGTGTGCGGAATGTGCCTTGCTATGTATATATAAATATATATATTAGGTTTATACTCGAATTAGTTGCGAAAAATATTTTTCTGTGAGATATACTATAAAATATGTAGTAATATAGTGTTGTTCTAAGTAGTGGTTACACGAAGTCTAATAGTTATCGTGTTAAAGATTCGCAGTTTATTCTTCCACTAGGCGTAAAGTGTATATACTAGGGTAATAGGTCATAGATATTGTCATCATTTTTTGTAAACGAGTTTTTTTTCTCTAGTAATTGTTTAGTTTTCTTAACTAGAGAGTTACGAATTCTCGAATGTTGTACCTGCATTTAATTTTTTTTTGTTATTCTTAGCTTGACATAAATAATAAAGATAATAATGTTTTAGTTGTCCGAAAAAGAATTATCTTACTTCGGTGATATGATGACATTGTAAGAATGTAGAATTACATTAGGAAAAAGTCAGTAGTTAAAGATTTAATTATGGTAAGCGAATCAGCTTTATAATCGGTAGACAGATCATGATATCGATATCGACGAAGAAAATACTGCACTATTATGACAAGGCACATTTCCACCACTGCCAAATAAGAAAAAAATAGGAGCGTGAAAATTTTTACTAAGCGTTTGATTTGTAAATTTTATAAATAAGGTTGGTAAATAAGTCATGTTATAGTTGTTAATTTTTACTTTTCTTTGGGTAGTATCGTTTACGTAAGTAACACCTAGCCACCGCGGGGAGGGACCACGGGCGCGGGGCGCGGTGGCTCGGGCGCCCCTACAGAGAGTGCACGGTGCAAAAGATCCGCCTATTATTAACGTTGCACGATGCCATCTCTGAAGCGGCGCTCGGTAGCTGTCGATATGTAATGTGTACCTATTGTACTTATACTTTAACTGTACGATAACTATAATTGATTTTTGTCTGATTTATAATGTATGGAGAGAAACTTTTTTTTTTGGTTTTTTGTTCCTTAATTATCTGTACCGAAAGTTAAGATAATCATTAAATATGGAAATAAATACTAGGGCCGGGTTCTGGCAGAGCTACGAAACGTTTGGCTAATGATTGTAATTTTTATACTTATCGATGTAATTCGGGTTTGATTTATAAAATGTTTATACTCTGTGATTATGTATGTACCTTTGTGGTATTTAAGGTGAAGTTTTACTAGCTCTGTCGGGTTCGGTCAATAAAAAAAGATTCTGATTTTTATTTTTTGCTATAACTTATCCTATTCCTTTTCCTGAAACCCTTAATAAATTATTAGTTAAGATAGAAATAAATAATAGGAAACACTTAAGTATTAAGTCACATCACACAATACACTTTAATAGAGACTACACACGATTAAAATGTAAAATATCAAGGTAATATCAAATTATTAAAAAAATTGGTAATAGTGCGTCATGATGAGATACCTACTACTCATGACGCTCGTAGCCAGGTGTGTCCAAGCCAATTAATTAGATCCAGTTATAAATTTAGTCAAAACGACGCTAATTTGTTAAGTTAGTCGGTATGCAAACGACTAGATCCTTATTAAATTAGTAAAGAAGTTATATTCATATTTGCCGCCATCCCATGGCAACTTTGTTAGAATGTGATATAGGATATAGGTACCTACCTACTATAGCAGAACTCTGACATTTAGCGAAATTAGCATTACTACTTTATTACCATTAGCAGGTACCTACCTACCTACACCTAAATGAATGAGAATGAGACATTGAGATAATTATAAAAGTAGCCTCAATAATTAACTTTTTAAAAAAATAAAACCGACTTCAAATGCGTGAACACAAAAAAAAACTAAAAATTAAAAATATTCCGTATAAAAAAGTTCATCCCCAATTTTCCACCCTTGGGGGTGAAATATTTTCTTCAAATTCGCATGAAACCACCCTTTTGATAATACCTATTCAACAAAAAAATAATCGTTCAAATTGATTTATTCGGCGGAGATATTGCGTATAAAAAAGTTCATCCCCAATTTTCCACCCTTGGGGGTTGTTTTTTCTATTATTAAATTTAAATAGGACCACCCTTGAGGTATTACCTATACGCCGAAAAAAGATTTGTTCAAATCGGTTCATAATTGGCGGAGTTATCGCGTAACAAACATAGAAAAAAAAACAAAACATACGGGTCGAATTGAGAACCTCCTCCTTTTTTTAAGTCGGTTGAAAATAGTTTGTATGTGAGTTTTGTTCTAAGTCTAGAGGGTATTCTCAGGAAAATTCCTTGCTTTCGAAAATCATAATAATATCTCTTTCTTACAAACAAATATTATCATCGAATTAATTACCTTTATAAGCTTAGTAGGTACAAAAAGTTATAATAACTTCTGTTAAAAAATGAGGATTGCGTAGCAGAACGTTACGACGCACAGTGATTCGAGTAGAACAAGCTAGCTGGACAATATTATTTTTTTACTTTAATGGGTTTAATACACGCATTACTTACTTTTTTGTGCAATTTAAGATTAATTAGGCTTGTTATTATAATTATTATAGGTAGGTTTGAAAAAAAAATTTTTTTGGTAATAAAATATTAATTTCCTAAAATCAAGAGAAACAGACTAAAAAGGAAAGAAGAAACTAACTTTACAGTATAATAATAATTGGTCTTATGATGTGTTATGTGTTAAAGCATGAAATTCCCGTTTTTTATGGAGAATTTAATGAAAATCAATTTTTCGATATAAACATTTTTGCGATTTATATGGAACAAAGAATCTCAGTTTTTTTTAATTTAGTGGGTAGACTGGGACAACATTAATGACTTGCCAAGTTGCTGTGGCCAGCAGACATTTGCGCTGCAGCTTCAGCAGCCAATATCAGTTCTCAAGTACTTCTTGAGGAAATGAGGTCTAAAAGTCTTCTTCTTTTCGTCTTTTTGCTGGACTCGTCGAACTCCTTGAGTGGTCGTCCAGGTGTAGAATCTTTCGACGTGGAAGACTGAACTTTATGAACAGAAACATGTAACACTATGGCTCCGGGAATCCACTCAGTTTTGTTTTTCATGAAGCGTTCCCTGTTTTGCCGTATTTCGTCCATTGAAATGAAATTGAAATGCGACTGATGCTATTCTTCAACTCTCTCAGCAAATTTTCGTGATCCCAATACATCACATTTTGAGAATATAAATTAAAAATCATGCTATTCTGGTCACTTTTTCAATGTTTTAATCATTAATCAAAAAACTTGATTTTTTATTAATCTGAAAAAATAAAATTGTTGTGCAAAAGTGTGCAAACTGAAACTGGTATATTTGAATACTAGAGGGTTACAGCTACAATATATATAAATTCCAGACTGGGGTCAAGTGGGGGCATACAACTTCTAGTCTTCCAAACATAAAATTTTGAGAAAAATATAAAGGTCAACATTTCGCCATAGTTTTTAAAACTATGTGCATTATTATGCACCTTATTGTACAGAAAATAAAAAGTACTTACCCTTATCTTCAAAATACATCACACAAATATTTGGTCACCATAGTAAAAAATAATGTCAGGTGTTGTCGAAAGTCGAGCAAAATTAGGAATTAAAAATTACACTATCCTCATATCCTCACTTACCATGTTAATTACTCACGACTAGGTAATTAACAAAGTAAAAAATTGTGGAATCCTTAATGTCTGGGATGTTGTTTATCGTTTTTTATAAACGATAATCAGAAATTCAACAATGACTTTTGTCCAGCTAGCTTGTTCTACACGAATCACAGTGCGACGCGACGACTCAATAACAGTTTAAAAAAATATTAAATCCTTTTCGAATCAATTTTTCTTATGTATGTTTCAAGAAACACGAAATTTCGTAGAACGAAACGCAGCAGATGAGTGAAGTCCTAATGTCAAAATTCAAAACATCAGTGAAGTTCGCGCGTGTGTGGGAACGATGGCCCTCCGATCTGTGATATCGTCGCGAATCCCTATGGTTATAATATTAGGTGCAACAGGAACTGGAAAAACTAAGTTGAGTGTTGAATTAGCGAAAAAGTTTGGGACGGAGATCATCAGCGCTGATTCTATGCAGGTAAGTGACTTGTTTTCAAAACATAACCTCAAAATGTAACATTGTTATTTACCGTATGATTCTTTCAAATTTTTCTTGTTTCTGCTATACCGTTTAAACTGTGTCAGATAATAGTATACATTTTAATCGCAATTTTTTATATCTACTCGGCAATCACCACTTATTTGTATCATAACAGCTGATACAATTCTAACCTACAATAATAATTAAACATGTATTAATGGATAATGTTTATAATTTACAGCAAAGAAAAATCACGATACAAATAATAACATTCGAAATGAAGAAAAAGTAGTATTTAATTTCGCTAGTTAAGTGTGCAATAAAATATAAATAGTCAGGTTGATTGTCAAAATATTATTTTTAACGGCAATTATTTTGTCTGAATTATAAACATAATATTTACAAATCTGTTTAAATTTAATTCTGTAATATTTCCAATCAAACCATGTCCGTCTTATTGGATTTACCTTTCTTGTAGGAGAAGCAACGGATATTCATAAAAAGGCTTACAAATAGAATATTGTCCAAATAATTAATTATTAATCTGGTTTTGGAAAATGTAAATAATGTTACTTTTTAAATATTTTGGTCAATGTATTTATAAAAGCCTATACAGATAAGATAACTTGTCAATTTATTTATCAATTAAATATTATCATAATTAAATAATCTGATAATCAATGATCAATTTAATTGATTTGCATCTACATAGTATTTATTTCCTATTATTATTCTTCTTAAAAATCATAAATATTATAGGACGCTATTTAAAATGTTATTATTCTATTATGAAATTTAATGTTACCAACCAAATGAACTAATTGGAACTAAGAGACGCTTAATGCAAGTAAGTTGAAGAAAATGTTTAACACACACATTTTTATAACACAACTCTCTTATAAGATTGCTGTTGAAACAAATAAAGATTGTGAACAAATTGAATTTCTATATTATAAGTGTAGTATATCTGATCTAGTTCGTACCGTGTGTGATATTTTTAACAATATTATGATTAATTTGAAATATGAAACAGGGGTAATGTACATAATTAAATAATTAATTAAGCAATGCCTACATAGAGTTAAATTGCTGAAAATTAGCCACTGACATTTATTCATACTTAAAATTAATTTTTAAAAATAAGTATTTCCCAATTGTATTTCATGTCTTAAAATAATAAGCTAACAAAATTACCTTTTTGGAATAACAATATTGTACCTAATTATTATATTATTACCAAATAAATTAATTTTGAATTTTAATAAGTTTTATGATATAAACGTAACTTACTGAAGTTACACAATATGTAACTTGATTGAGTCATAATATTATTATGTAAAATTATGCAAGTTTAGTTCAGTACTTTATTAAAGGGAAATTTTCTCCTTGAAAAATACAATTTACTTGTAATATCATTAAACCGTAGAATATTGTGATTTTCCATAAACCATAGAATCCAACTGCAGTGGAAGTGCATTAATGTTTTGGGTGCAAATGATAATGGACACAACTCGAGCATTTCCTATTGCGCTCAGCGTAAGTCGATCAAAACAATTTTTTACTTCAATAGGCTGGTAGTTGTTGTAGTAATAAATCTCTAAACCAAATTAATGATGAGCAACTTTTTGCTGATAGATCAATGGACCATTAATAAAGATAAAAATAGAATCGCCCACTCAATTTATTGGTACATTCATATGTATTCTTTCAAGTTATTAATTTTATTATAGTACGGTCTCAATAAAAAAGTTTGTAATTGGATTTTTTCTTTTTTTTTCAGTGACTATACTGAGACTAATAAATGTTATTCTGGTGTTAAAATGTTAACAGTTATTTCAGGTTTTTCGTATTAAATTAAAATAAATATCCTATTATTAAGGTTAAAAAAGTTAAGGAATATCATTTACTACTATTAATTACTTAATATGATAGATTAAAGTCAATGTTTTTTTAACTAATCCACATTTATTTATTTATTTTCGCTTTTTCCATAGTTCTGCCTGGATGGTTTCTGTTATCTATAGAAACTATAGAAAGTCTTTTTAATGCTCTTGTACCTGTAATACACAATAAATAATACCTACTAATCTTGCTTTGTCTTATTGGAAAATCTGATAAAGTTAATCTCAAAATTTCGGTTGCCCTACCTAGAAAACGAAGCCTGGACGAGTCTAGAAAGTTGCAGCATTAGTGAACTGTCTGTATTAGATAGCGTATAGAAATAGCCATACATCTTAATCATAAATCAGCCAGAAATACTCATATTCGCGAAAAAATATCCGGTCACGTCATATCTAAGACTGTGGTACAGTCGGCGGCCAGTCAAGGTGAACATTGTACCCCTTATGTAGTTGTGTTAAGAGTTATTTAGCAATCAATAATGTATAGTCTGATGTGTACCTACATGCAACATTCGACATACGTCACGACTCACGAGTCGAATTTGATGCGAGTGCAACGACCCGGGACCTTGAACACGAGACACCTGTACAGCCAAAATCCAAGGTCCCTTCCATGCGCAATGAACATGAACATAGTTTCAGCTTTATTCGCACTTCAGTTGGATTTAAAACTATATTCTATATGTAGGTATTAAGAAATTTGTGTTAGTAAAAAAATTAAAAGAATAACTAGGTACCTACTTAAGGCATAGTTCTCTCTCAGACTCGATCGGACTTTGTCATCAATATCCAGTTTTTCGTAAAAATCCGCCAAAGTCAAAAAATTGTAGCTATGGATTTAGCTTGAAAGTAAAAATATTTACTATTCTTATATTACTTTTCGTGTACCTATATGACATTCATGGTCCCTAATTCACTCTAACATTTTGTTGTTATCCATCTATCTAAACACCTCGTTCCCCACTGCTGGGTTTTGATCACCTCTCACTCGCCACCGCCACATCTAACGGTCGTCTGTCAATCTTTTCCAGACCAGCCATTCGCAACTAATCGTACTTTCATAGGTATCATGCTTATTCGATCTCTACTTTTATATCTTCAGCTTATCTAGCAGAAGGGAGAAATTCTCTAATTTTTAAGTGACCCTTATGAAAACAAAATTCCTATTGTAGTACCATAGGTAACTTAAAAATTCACAAGGAGAAATCCACATTTCACTCCCTTTTCTCAGTTTTTTTTACAACGATTCTATAAGGGACTACTGTGTCTGTGTTTTTCTATTTTAATTTTGGCGAAAAGGCAGATGGACGATTATTAATACGGATCTTGGAAAATATTAGCTAGGAACCATCACAAACTTTGAAGCCTACAATCAATCAAATAAACCTACCGTAACCAACCATACATGTAGAATGAAACCCACAATAAATACCGGTATGCCATGGTTGTCAGATCTTATCAGTCGCCATAAAGTCCCGCCTCATATGGCTCACGTAACTACGAGATACCACCACAGGCACTTACCAGGATATTTGCATACAGAGACAAAAACTATAATCTGTAGCCCCTGGCGGTTCTGCGATTTCACACAGCTATGAAATTAAGTCACCAAAAAAACTATGATGCCAATAAGAATGGCAGTTCAAATTTCAAATTTCTGATTCAAATAAGAATCATCTCATAAATGCTGGCAGAAAATCAAAAAGTTTTCAAAAAAGAGCTCCGGCAAAGTAAGCGATTTGAAACTTTTACATCAGCTATTTAAGTAGGTGATAAGTCCCCAAAAGGACCAAAATGATTCCAATAAGAATCTTGGAGAATACCGTTCAAATACGTCCGTACCGTCCTGATTCGAATAAGAAACGCAGCTACATCAGAATCGCTAGTGCTGGTTGTAAATAAAAAAAAGTTTCACAAAAATAGTTCCGACAACGCAATTTGAAATTAGAAAGAAAGATAAACTGAAGGTCAATGTCAATACCCTGGCGGAGTGGCGAGAACAATCGCAAGCGCAAGAATTTCGCCACCCGCGTTATGATGTCCGAGTTTGTCTACGTTATATAACGCGGCCGAGAGATGCCGGCCAACCTTCGCACAGGTCGCTGCCGTCGCAGTATATGTGTGGTGAGCAGATCAAACGAATTGAAAGAAAGAAAGAAAGAAAGAAAGAAACATTTATTGCCATGGACATCACAAAAGACAAAAGATGTGAAATAAAAAAAAAGCAATTAAGACAGAGGTGACATAAAACGTACAATGAATGAGCAAGTAAACTAAGCAGTCGCACAGCGATGCCCATCGCAATGGGACCCCACTCAGCATATGCCGTGGCCCCCGGTGAGGGAAGCCACGACGCTGGTTTTCAGTGTGCCCCATGCCGAGTGAGAGTCACGGACACTAACCTATACTGCATAAAATATACATACATAAATAATAATAATAGTGCGCGTATAAATTTTAAGTGTAAATACAGACGTAGTAGAAAATAATAATATACGATATAGACGAAGTAGAAAAGATGTGATAAGATATTTATAAATAAAAAGATAATATTTAAAAAACAAAACTGTGTGTGTGTACATAATAATAATAATAAATTGTAATGTATTAAAGTGCGTTTGTGTATACTGTGATTGTGTGTGTCTCGACGTCCGCAAAACAGTCTACTCTCGATCGATCGAATCATTCTGCGTGGTTGTGGCTCTTAGCGTATAATGCGATAATGCGCCTAACGATAATGCTGGCTTCTTAATAGATCGTTTCATCCACGAAGACGCGCCCCACCAATTTTTGGTCGAGGCAAGCGTGGTGTGCGGGGAGTTTGATCCGAGCAATCCGAGCGTCATTATTGTAGTGTGCGTGCACTCATGGATAATTTAGCGTGTACCGATAACACTCAAACAATAGCAGAAGAATGGTGAGGCGCGTCTCGCGTCTTCGCGGATGAAACTATCTATGCTATAGACATGGTTTATGAAGAAAGTTATTGTTTGCAAAGTTTGTGATTGCTATCAGAATCTCATTTAGATCTTTGCACAGGAATCTGCCGACACAATATCTGAGGAGATCAATTGCTCTTAGTGGTTTTACCAGTGG